CAAAATGGATCACCTCCTATCTATCAAGAAACTGCAGCCTGAAGATTGCTGTATTTGAGCATCCTTGCAAGCAAAGCCTGAAGAATGCCCAAAAGGGGGGACTGTTGCAAAGCAATTTAAATTTAGTAGTAGAATGGCTAAGGCTTAGTAGGAGAGTAGGCCTAGAAAGCAACACTCCAAAGTAGGAAGTTAGCAACCTTGTTTGTGTGCTGAAGAAGTGGAAACCATAATCAAAGGATCTAGTCAAGCATGTATATAACGATTTGTTACCTAGGATGTGGTAAAGGTCTGTTAAACAGTTTCTAGGAGTAAGACAACTTAAGAAGATTTATGATTAGAGTAGATGATTATTAATTGTTATCAGTATGAAGTATGAGCTTGTTTGTAACTGCACCTGGTTTGCTGTGGAAACTGTAACTGTTTTGCCTTGGGAACTGCATGTAAACTTGTTTGTGTATAAAAGCTGAACTGAGAATGAGGGTCTTCGGAATCCTGACTTGGGGCGTTAGCCCACAGGTTCCCGGGGCCCCGAATAAAGCACTGCATAAACCGGCACTGTTGGTTTTTGTTATTTTTTTGGTTACGGGCAACACCACCTCCCTGCAAATGTCTTCCCGTGTTTCAGCTTTATAACTATAAAATATTTCTTCCTTATCTCTAGTCTGAACTTACCCTTTTTCAGTATAACACCCTCACCCCCTGTCCTATTGTGACAGGTCCTGCTGAACCCTTTGCCCCCCTTTGTTTCTAAAAAGCTGCCTTGAAGTACTGGAAGGCCCCAAGGAGGTCTACCCACAGCCTTTTCTTCTGCAGGCTGAAGAGCCCCCACTCTCTCAGCCTGTCTCCATGAGAGAGGTGCTGCAGCCCTGGGATCCCCTTGGTAGCCTCCTCTGGAAGTGCCCCAAGAGGTGCGTGTCTTTGCTGTGCTGAGGAGCCCATGGAGCTGCAGGAGATGCCAGGGCTGGCAGGGGAATCCCCCCAAGCCAGTGCCATTGCGGGCGGGTGCGTTGCAGACAGCCAGAGGAGCCCAGAGCTGGAGGCAGCACTGAAGGAGGGGTCTCAGCTGAGAGGAGAAGAGGGGCAGAACCCCCCTCCCCTGCTGCCAACGCCGTGGGATGAGCCCAGGACATGGGGGGTTGTGGGCTATGAGCTCCCATTGCTGGTTCCCATCCTGCTTTTCATCCCCCACTATCCCCATGGCCTTGGATGCAGGGCTGCTCTCCATCCCTTCAGCCCCGAGCCTGGCCCTTGAGATCTGGGGGCATTTGACACCCGCTGGCTCCTTTGATCCCCCTTTCCCATCCCTCCCAGAGCACAGGGAAGGACTGANCTGGTTTGCTGTAGAAACTGTAATTGTTTTAGTCGTGAGAACTAAATGTAAACTCGTTTGTGTATAAAAGCTGAACTGAGAACGAGGGTCGTTGGAATCCTGCTTTTGGGGCGCTAGCCCACAGGTTCCCGGGCCCTGAATAAAGCACCGCATAAACCAGCACTCTGTTGGTTTGTGTCTTTGTTTACGGGCAACAGCTGAACCTGGAGATGTTTCTTCACTGTAAGCAGCAGTAGCAGAACTGCACTGACCGGAGAAATGGGGGCACAGGGCCAGAAGAGATAAGACGGAGAAACAACAGTAACAGCATGCAGCCAAGGAAGACTCAGAGTTGCTCGAGCCGAGATAGAGAGCCAGCAGCAGAGAGACAGAGTTTTGGGGGTAAGAACTGTACCAGACCCCCCAAAACGCTTGGAGACCCCTCCTAGAGAGAGGAGTACATGGACTCCTATTTTGGAGAAGAGTTTTAGACATGCAGCACCGGAGAGAGAGAGGAGCTAAGAAGCTCAAAGGCGTCCCGGAGCTGGACCGGGATAGAGAAGGAATGCGGGGGGAGTTGACCTTGGCCCCCCCCTGCTGCTGACAAGCCTGGCAGCCTGAGACGGAGCACAGGAGCTCTGGTAGAACTCTTGAGGCAGAGGCTTGCAACTGAATGCTGCCCCAGATGTTCTGACTCAGGGGTGAACCCCTGAGGAAGGGACTTTCACGAAGATGCCCCTGCATTTCGTGATATACCTGTGGTGACGCGAGTCTTGTCCCTGCTGGCAGTCCACAGGTGAGGCCTTCGCTTGGACCGAAGGAGAGCCGGGGGGCTTGGAGACCCCCTTGTGTATGTTGAAAAGAAATCCAGCTATTAGCTGCGTGCATGAGAAGAGGACAGACTGCTGCCTTAGAAGACACTGCTGCTTAGAGACTGGAAGGGATCTGTTTTTCTTCCCTCCTGGACTTTTATTTGGAGGGAGAAGAGATCTGATCATTGTAAATACTATATGTCATGGTAGAGATAGTTGTGATCGTGTGTATAATGTATTATAATATTTATTTGTACAGTCATTGTAATATATTCCCTTTCCCCCACTTTGAGTCTGGTGTGTTTTGTCTGGAAAAATCATCCCACATTAGGTTGAGATGTGGGAGGGGGGCTTAGACTAGGGAATTAGATTTTTGGGGCTATCTCAAACCATGACAAGGGGAAATCCCAGGTCTAAACTTGGATTAGGGGGACTGAACTGCAGGGGGTCACCCCAGAGACATTTTTGGCAGGGACAGAGCCCAAGAGACCATCTCTTCCCAGGGAAGAGATTGTCCTGGAAGACATTGAAGTGAGATTGTCACGTATTAAAGTAAGAATGTCCTGGATTAAAGTGACATTGTCCTGGATTAGAATGAGATCATCCCGGATTAAAGTGCCTCAACTCACCAAAGTCCCACCATAGAGACCCACAGGGGGGACAATAAGAGCAGCCTTCCCTCAGAGACACAGCTGGTGGGCAAGAACCTGAGCAGGGAGAAGGTGCCGGAAAAAAAACCCTGGCTACATTCACCTTGGGAACTGTGCAAGGAGACACCTCTCGCTGCTGTCTGCATTCAGCTGGCAAAGCTCATTAACGGAGGTGGCCTTTTGGTGCCATTTTCAAACCAGGGAATTCAGGTCCCTTCCCTTACTAAGAGAAAAGGTGAATTAGGAGATGAGATGCCGCAGGAGGAGGAATACCAGCCCCCCCGAGCCCGGCGACGGCCACGCCCACTGCCAACCAGGCCCAGAGGAAATCCAGGGAATCCTCGAGGCAGGTGTGGAGCCGCAGCACCTGCCAGTGGGTGCTCTCCCTGTCCCCCGAGTTGTCGATGATGTGAGTTGCCCACTGGAGCTTCTCCTCCAGTGGGATCTGGGAGCTGATCCGGGCATCAGCTGCAGCCACGTCCAGCTCGTTCTGCCTCATCAGCCACGCGCGCTGTGCCAGGGGGTCACTGTCGGGGAAGGGGACGAAGTTCAGGTGGGGTGGGAGGGAAGGGGGGTCTGCCTTCCTTGGGCATGAGGGGGGATAATAAAGTGGGAATGAGAAACATTCCCCGTGTCATTTCTGCTTCAGCCATCGGGTCAGCACTGCCCAGGATGACCCCGCTGCGTGTTTTTGGCACTCCCACAGCCCACAGCACCAGGCAGTGCCCCAAATCCTGCCCCAATTGATGGTGCACAGGCTGTAGAAAGCCCAAAGGAACAACATTCCCTGTATGATGGTGCTAACTTCCAGGGAAAGCTCAAGAAGCCCCCTCAAGTGCACTAGGATAAAGGGAGGTGCCACAGCACAAAGGGAGATGTTACTTCTCTCAACGGGTTTCGCACCAGGGCAGTGGTTGAGCCCTCACCAGAGCAGAGTCCCCTCTAAGAGAGGTGGCAGTGTCCTTGTCCTCATGGTTCCTGGGGCACCAATAAACCAAGACCGTGTATCTCATAAACTTGGTCAACCCGTGGGTCTCGAAGAGCAGAGGGATGTCCAGGATCATGTAGCGGTATCCTGTGGAAATGGCAACACCCCTCAGAAAAGGGAACAGCGTTAACCCCCGTTCCCAAATCCCTCCTACTACACACACACCATGGCCATGAAAAGCAAAGGAAGTGGGAGCTCTACAGCTCCACGAATGCAGCAGAACCCGTTTGCCCCCCTCCCTCTCGCAGGGAGGAAATGGTTTCATTCCAAGTTTCCAGAGGAAAAAAAAAACAAAACAACCCTAATGTGGCTGCTCTCAGACCAGAGGTGAAGCTGCAGAAATATAAGGAGGAGCTGAAACAAGGAGCTGAAATGAGAGTAGTAGTACCTGTCTGGCCAGAGCGGCAGCCATGCCAGGCTCTCCCGGGAAGCAGTGTCCACAGCAGGGTCTGCTCTCCACTTCTTCCCTTGGCCAAGACTTTGCCAGGCTGCAGTCATCTAAGCCAACCTTCTCCAGCTCAGTTTTCCCACCTTTATGCAAAGCTTTGGCTATACAGCTCCAAGGGGAACAAGGAAATCCTTGCAGACCTCTCGCAGCTGTGACACTGAAACATGGGTGAGCCCCTGGGCATGGCACCAAGGCTGAACCCTCACCAAAACTGGCTGAGTTTGGTTTAAAAACACTGTCACCATGAGGAACAGAGCTTGCCACAGCCAGTCACTGTCCCCCCAGGCCCTGTGGTGTAACGGCAAGGCCCTTGTATAACAAGGAATAATGATGCTCCTCATGCGATGGTGTGGTCAAAGAGGATTTATTCAAAACTCGCGCTCGCTTTTATCCTTACATGTCATGTGACTTTCTTAACTAACCAGTTTACTAGTTCTGCGGCATGCTCCTTGGGCTCTGTACCTGGGCACATCCTTTGTGCCTTTAGACACCCCTCCCACATATCCCCTCTTCTAATTATATTAAGAAGTCACAAAAACAGTATGAACAAAAATGCAAACAACAATGCAAACAACAATTT